GTCAGATGCCACCAACCGAAGGTTGATTTTCTTTGTTGATGATTTGGGTTCTTTAGTTTCTGTATTGGAGTGTTGCTCTTTTAAGACTTCTGACAATATATTCCACACTTCAGCTCTCTCAGATTTTGGAAGGCACTTCAGATTCTTAAACCTTAATACTATTTCTTTTATTTTTTTACAGTGCAAATATTTGTAATAAAAAATAATAGAATAAAGAGAGCACTGTACCTTTGTATCCCATGTTGTAATTTAAATCAATATATTTGAAAATGTAGTAAAACATCCAAAATATTTATAATAAACTTACATTGGTATTCTATTACTGTTTAACAGTGCAATTAAAGCTGCGATTAATTGTAACTATTTTTTTAATCTTGCGATTGTGATCATTTTTTTTAGTCGTTTGATAGCCCTGATCAGAAGAGAACTCTCTGATTGCTCACATGTTAAATAGGAACAGTGCACCCACAGAGTCGGCGCCAGAGTCAACCCTGTAGCACCCATGGAGTCGGCACCTATACTGATACCAACCACCGCTATTGCTGCTGCAATGAGCCATATGGCTACTAGTGGTTAAATCCTGCCCTCAGACCGGGTCTGAGCACAGTGTAGTGAGGGAGAGGAGAGCTGCATGTGCCCAGCTGAGCCCACTCTTAAGACCTGAAGCAGCAAGTCCTTGCTCCTATCTCAGGGGCAGTTCATTCAGTTCAACTCCTCCCATTCACCTGCTCCTTCAGACACCAGCTCAACACTGGCTCATCAGGCGGTACCACTGGAACCCTCCCACCCAATGCTTCAGAGGACAGCCATTGGTTACCAGCACTAATACTCAGGCACAGGCCAATCAGCACACTGGCCCTTAGGCAGCAGCAACTGGTTACCAACTATTAATACCCAAGCACCAACCAATCAGCTCTTTGTCCTTCAGCCATTGGTTACCAGTACTAATACCCAGGCACTGACGAATCAACAGTGAGTTGATTGGTCAGTGCCTGGGGCGTGGCTATTGGTTACCAACAGTTAATACCCAGGCACCGACCAATCATCGCCTTGTCTGGGGCAGGGGCTGCTCTCCCCCTTACCTGCGCCCCCCGCCGAAGGCGGCCTGGGCCGAGCTGATCGCAGGGGTGGGTAGAAGCTGCCGCAGGAGGCCGTTATTACTCGTTCCCTTCCCCACCCCGAGCTCGCGCACGTTGGACTAGAGGCGCTATCCACCCCGGTCATAGAGTCGGGCCGGGCGGAAAGACAAGACGGGCAGACGCAGCAAGAGTAGCAGTTCCGGTTTAGGCCATAGAGAGGCCAGGCTAGGACGGAACTCCAGGAAGGGAGTGTTGCTGCTCCCGCGCTGCCCCTCTCCAAGATGGCGCAGGTAACCCTGCTCTCGGCCCTCTCTCCCCAGAGCTGCGCAAACTCCACAGAGCCCCCTTCAAGATGGCGGTGAGATCCGCTGAAGGGCTGGCCCGGGGTGGGTCAGGGACACACGGCTCGGGCCTAGGAACCTCGGGGGCTGTAACACTTAGAGCCAGCAGCGTCCTCCGGGGTTCGGGCTGAGCAGCTGGGGGGGAGACGTGTCAGGGCCGCGCTGGGCAGGTTTTGGGTGGCAGGAACATGGGGCTGCCCTGAGTCCCGCCTCCAGAGGCCCTGGGCCATATTCTTCCCTTCCCCCCCCCCACCCCCCGAATCTCTCGTAGGGCCAGTTCCCAGGTTTCTGAGCTCAGGAGTCAGGAGCTGGATGTTAGTAACAAATAAGTTTGTTTTCCCCCTGGATGTTGGGGTTTTGTGCGTTCCTCTTACACTGGCAGATTTTCTCTGCATGTTGCACTCTAGAACAGTTCTTGGTGTGTAATGAATGCAGGTTCTCGTGGAATCACCAGAGTCCGGGAGCTGGGACTTTATGGACATCAAAAGGCACAAAACTTGAACTAAAATTGCAGTAGTTGCTAACAATGTTTGTGTAGCAAGGGGGGTCCTACTTACACTCCTGGGTCCACCAAAGCCAGGGCAGCTGACCCTTTCAATCTTCCCTCCCAGCCCCCACACTAGGGTTGCTAGGTGTCTGGTTTTCAACTGGAATGCCTGGTTGAAAAGGGACCCTGCTGACCGGGCTGTTAAAAGTCCAGTCAGCAGCGCAGCAGAGCTAAGGCAGGATCCCTGCCTCCACGGCTCCGTGCAGCTCCCAGAAGCAGTGGCATGTTCCCCCTCTGACTTCTAGGCATAGTGGCAACAAAGTGGCTCCGTGCGCTGCCCCCGCCCCAAGCGCCAGTTCCTCAGCTCCCATTGGCTGGGAACTGTGGCCAATGGGAGCTGCGGGGGCGGTGCCTGCGGATGGGGCAATGCGCAGAACTGCCTGTCCATGCCTCCGCTTAGGAGCCAGAGGGGGGATATGCCGTTGCTTCTGGGAGCTGTCTGAGGTAAGCGCCGCCCAGACCCAGTACTCCTGAACCCCCCTGCCCCAGCCCTGATCCCCTTCCTGCCCTCAATCCCAGCCTGGAGCTCCCACCTGGCACTGGTGAGACCTCATCTGGAATACTGTGTGCAGTTCTGTTCTCCCGTTTTTAAGAAGGATGAATTCAAACTGGAGCAGGTACAGAGAAGGGCTACTAGGATGATCTGAGGAATGGAAAACCTGTCTTATGAAAGGAGACTCAAAGAGCTTTGCTTGTTTAGCCTCACCAAAAGAAGGCTGAGGGGAGATATGATTGCTCTTTATAAATATGTCATTGGGATAAATACCAGGGAGGGAGAGGAATTATTTAAGCTCAATACCAATGTGGACACAAGAACAAATGGATATAAACTGGCCATCAGGAAGTTTAGACTTGAAATTAGACCAAGGTTTCTAACCATCAGAGGAGTGAAGTTCTGGAACAGCCTTCCAAGGGGAGTAGTGGGAGCAAAAGACATATCTGGCTTCAAGACTAAGCTTGATAAGTTTATGGAGGGGATGGTATGAGAAAGAACCTAATTTTGGCAATTAATTGATCTTTGACTATTAGTGGTAAATATGCCCAATGGCCTGTGATGGGATGTTAGATGGGGTAGAATCTGAGTTACTACAGAGAATTCTTTCCTGGGTGTCTGGCTGGTGAATCTTGCCCACATGCCCAGGGTTTAGCTGATCGCCATATTTGGAGTTGGGAAGGAATTTTCCTCCATGGGAGATTGGCAGAGGCCCTGAGGGGTTTTCGCCTTCCTTTGCAGCGTGGGCAGCGGGTCACTTACTGGAGGATTCTCTGCACCTTGAAGTTTTTAAACCATAATTTGAGGACTTTAATGGCTTAGACATAGGTTAGGGGTTTGCTGCAGGAGTAGGTGGGTTAGATTCTGTGGCCTGTGTTGTGCAGGAGGTCAGACTAGACCAGGGGTCAGCAACCTTTCAGAAGTGGTGTGCCGAGTCTTCATTTATTCACTTTAATTTAAGGTTTTGCATGCCGGTAATACATGTTAAAGTTTTTTAGAAGGTCTCTCTCTATAAGTCTGGGGGTGTGTGCAGGTGCAGGGCAGAAGGCTGCGTGTGGGGGGAGGTCAGGGCAGAGGGCTGGGGGAGGTGTGGGGGTGCAGGGCAGAAGGCTGGGTGTTGGGGGTGACTCGGAGG